TGCCTGATCCGGCTCATCTCAGCATTATCTTATCATTGTCTTATCACAGGACCCAGAAAGAATGACAAACATCTCACCTGTCATAAAACTCTTCAAGACAGTGTTCCCACAGTTTGTGAAATATAGACTGTACAGATGTTGTCTTAAAATGCCTGTTCTTGCTTTTGTTCCCATCAATATTTTGTTCTTCTGTCTGTGTCTATTCAAACAATAGGAAAGTTTATCCTTCTTCAACTCACATCTTTGATCTTTGCCTCTGTTCAATCCACCTTCTTTTCCCACCAGATAGATCCAAGCCAAACAGTTTGGGCCTTTATGCTAAGCTAAGCTAGCCAGCTTCTGGTAGTAGCTATATATTTAAAATACATACATGAATGTGGTATGAATTCTTATCTAACTATTTGCAAGTATACGTATATACAGTTGCAAGAAAAAGTATGTGAACCCTTTGGAATTACCTGGATTTCTGCATAAATTGGTCATAAAATGTGTTCTGATCTGCACGTTTGAAGTTTGCCAAAGAGCACCTGGATGTTCCACAGCACTACTGGCAAAATATTCTGTGGACAGATGAAACCAAAGTTGAGTTGTTTGGAAGGAACACACAACGCTATGTGTGGAGAAAAAAAGGCACAGCACACCAACATCAAAACCTCATCCCAACTGTGAAGTATGGTGGAGGGAGCATCGTGGTTTGGGGCTGCTTTGCTGCCTCAGGGCCTGGACAGATTGCCATCATCGACGGAAAAATGAATTCTCAAGTTGATCAAGACATTTTGCTGGAGAACTTAAGGCCATCTGTCCACCAATTGAAGCTCAACAGAAGATGGGTGATGCAACAGGACAACGACCCAAAGCACAGAAGTAAATCAACAACAGTGGCGATTCGTCGTAAGACATGGCGTGGTTAGGGGTCTCGTCGTGGGTTAGTTGACACGTAGAATCTCACTATAACAAATCTTTGTCTAGAAAAGAAATTCTTAGACCTCATTTCCGAGATACCTACATTATAGTCAGACAGGTAGACAAGTTAGTTCTCTCTGAGTAAAATAATTGGTCAACTCGGCTCGGACAAAAAGTCCGGAGTCCGAAGCTTTTACTGGGTAAGGTCTTTGTTTAACTGTTTAGAAGGGAAGACTTTCCCCATTTAAATTAGGTAGAAAAAGGAGGTTTTCGTTACTAGTTTGGAGTACTCAACCTACATATCTTTTTCAGGTCTTAGTTATATCTAAAAAAGATAAAATTTTCATCTAAAGTCTAACTCTTGTATCATCCTTTTTTTTTTTGTAATGGAATCGCTTTTGGTGGGGAACTTATTACGTCCTACCATCTGATTTTCGAAAGTCCTTAGGTTTTGATATGTGTATATTCATGGGGACATAGTTAGTTGTCTAACTACGTTTGTTCCACTGTAAACTGGGAAAAATCCTCGTCTAAATTCTTCTTTTTTATTTGTGTGAAGACGCCCCAGTAAACACTCGTAAAAGGTTATAGCATGATGCGGGTTGAAGGCCAGCTAAAACTTGCTAACAACTTGTGGAGAAAACTTGGCAATTCTCGGTTATCTTAGTTTACTTAGTTAGTTATCTGGTTTTTACGTCTTATTTGTCTTTTTTTATGGAAATAAAGTTCCTAAAAATATCCTGTTGTTGTCTTGTGATTGGAACACGTTGTTGTCAGTGCTGTTTGTTACTGTCTGTCCTTTTTGGTCTTGAATTTAATGTGTCGTTCGATAAGTGTGTTTGTTCTGTGGTCCACCTCCTCCCTCCGTCTTTTGGTGTCCCCGTGTTCCACGTTGTTGTTAGGCGCATTTAGGTCCATCTTCCCTTTTGTCTGGCCTCGTGTTGGTCCGGTTCTGTCCCCACTTGGTGAGGCTGTCGTTTTGACTTGTTTTATTTTGTACCTTTGGTTTCGTGTCTTTTTCTGTTCCTGGTTTTTGGGTGTTGGTGTCTGTCTAGCACTGGGTAATGGGGGTTGTTTGCAGGGTTGGCCCTGCCCGCTGTACCTCAAACCGGTCCTGGGGGTCGGCCTTGGAGGTTGCCCCTTTGGTGCTCTCCGTCCTTGGGAACCTCTGCCAGCCAAGCGGCTGTCTTGAGCCCCCCGACCTCAGCGGGATTACGGGGCTGTCCTGGTGCCCTTTTCGGACCCCGCAGGGCCGCCCTTCGGGTTGTCCTTCTGCTCCCCCGGACCGCACCGCGCGCTGCGTGGTCATACCTCGCTTTGACCGACGAGGCCCGGCCGGGAGAAGGCCTCGGCGTACGCACACCGCGTGGCCTGTGCTGTCGGGACCCGGACGCGCAACGTGCCAATACCCCTCGTGCCTTAAGCCGAAACACCGGCCGAAGACCGTCCACTTGGTGTAGCCGAACGAGCGCGCGCCTTGACCCGCCGTTGTTACCGCGCGACCCCGCGGTCCTGGATGTCGCGTTGGTGACCGACGACCCCGACGCTTTTGGTTACACGAGACCCGCGGGGGCTTTGACCCCGAGCCTTGGTAAGTGCGGACGAAGCGGCTAGCGCGCAAGCGCCTTAGTACCGAACACCCCGCGCGAGAGAGCCGTCGGGCGGTTGGTACCACGACACCGCAGACCGGAGAGGGAAGTCGTCGCAAAAAATAACCTAAAAAGTTACGGTAACTTGGGAGTTGGAAACGCAGGTCGTTGGCGTTTTCGCATTGCTGGTATTAAAAGCCGAAGACCAACATTTCCGGAATGTAACTACACTTACAGGACCTAAAAGAGGGGACGGCGTTCAAAAACCTAGGGAGTGTCATTATATGAAATAGACACCTTAGAGTCGAACAATCCAACTATATAACCAAGACCCGTTCTGGCTATCATATTTCAATACAAGGTGACACCTCGAAGACACGATTCACGGGGCCATATCGGTAAAAAAGGGTGAGGTCATTGATTAAGTCTTCGAACCATAATGGGAACACAAAAGCAAATCGAATTTGTAAATTTAAATCAATTAGTAACAGAACTATCGACGTCAAAGAAAGGGGCGAATGTCACATACTGTGTAAGTATCAATTTAGAATTCTTCTGGAGTTCTGGGGCCGGACAAAAGGAAGTTCTACCAACGTAAAACCCCCGAAACTGACCAATTTCCCTTGCGGGCACTACCTCGACTAATTATAACGTCGGACGCCTCACCTAACAATATATATTGGGTCAAGGGAAGGGACTTTCTTGAACGCGGACTCGAGTAAACCAAACGCAGGCTGGCGGAACCGGGTCTGGTCTACTTTGGAGGGCCGAAGGAAATCAACTATATAACGGTATTTTACAACCACCATCAGGGGGTCTCGTTTTTTCCAGGAGGAGTGAGGTAAGTTCACTACATCACTTGATAGGAGTTGTATATTGGTTAAATGTATAGGAATTGAGGGTAACGAAGTTACCCAACCAACCAGACAGTAGTAAAAAACCAGAGGGACCAAAACAAGGACACCA